TAAGTAAATGAATTAGTCCTTTATAAAATTAATATTATTTTAGCTTCAATCGGAAGCTGAGAAGGTATTTTTATTTTTTTTTTGTGTCTGTTACAACTATTTCTCAGCTCTCATCTTTTTCTTTCAACGATACGTCAAAAGATCACAAATCGTAACTAGTTCAAGACACTACCCTCAAAAATTGAAAAAAATTTCCTCGTTCCCCGTAAATGGGGGAAACCTCCAAAAAAATTACTAAATTAAAAATCGCTAATTTTCGAAATTTTTTCAAATTTTTTTTCTTAAAACTGCCATAACTTTTTCAAAAATGAACAAATCAATATAATTTTTTTGTATAGATACATAATGTCTTTACCTATCATTTGATATATTTTTTTAATAAATATGACCCTTTCTGCTCACAGGGAGGGATTCAAAATGACAACTTTTTCACAAAAAATTAACTTTTTCAACTTAACTTTTGAAAGTGTTCCAGAAATACTGACATATGTAATATACTTTATTATGGAAAAAAAAAAAAAATTTTGGACTTTATTTTGTCTTCATGGTGAAAATGGCTACCGAATGCTATTTTTGTGTGAAAATTCTCGATTTTATTTTTTACATTTTTAACTTTATAATGCTATAAGTTATTGAAAATTGTATGGACCAACACAGTTTTTTTATGAGAAATAATTTTTATATTCCATTTTCATTCGACATATTTTTCTTAATCAGGATATAAATAAGGAAATAGTAGATCATGTAGCTTTTGGAATAATAAACCAATTTTTTAAAATTAAACACTATTTAATGATTTGCATCGAAGCGTTTTTTATGATTGTGATTTTAATCACTGTCAGATATCATTATATTTGATCCAACTAAGTCACGTCATCACTGTGCCGCGACCCCCCTGTGCTGGGTTTTTTTTTTATAATTTAAAATGGTAAATTTTGTTTTCTAAAATTTTGTATACGGTAATGTAACCTACGTAATACAAACAATGACCTTGAAATAATATAACAACTCTTATGATTTTTTAATTTTATTAAAAATGAAAGTTTACGAATAAAAGATAACAATTATGATTTATTTTTTACAGAATTACAAACTTTATATAAATTAAAAGCGATTAATATATAAATATCCAATAAATAGTAAACGAAGTTTTTTTATTAATTATTAATTTAAAATCATTTTTTTATTTTAAAATCTTTTTGGAACTAAATAACTTTAAATATTAATAATTTATTATTAATATTTAAAAAATATTTACAAGTGATTCACTTAAAAACAGCATTGTATTTTATTTTGTATCAAATTTAATTTTTGAAATACTCACATATTATAGTATATATCTGTATTATAATATATATATATATAATTATTATTATATATCATTATAACCCATTAGATTATTATAAAACAATTCTTAAATGGTACTCTTTGATTATATTGAAAGCAATTATAGATGTAGCTAGTTCACGTTCATCTTTAATAAATTCTTTGGAAGGTGGAAAGAATATTTTTAATGATAAATCGACTACACTGTCATAAAATGTATTAGATTTAATTAAATCTACGACAGCGTTTTTATTTAAATAAGAACCAGGAATTATTTCTATGTATAGTTTAAAAATCAAATTGTAAATCATTCTAAGTATTTTTTTAAAAATCTTTTTAGTTTCAACCATATTTGAATGTTTTTCAATGTCGTTCATATAATTATTGAGTGCATACGATAAGCTATTTTCTATATGAGATATGTTTATCTTTTGTTTGTTAAAATTAAAATTTATAGTTTCTAAGGAGTTTCGTATGATGCCTAATACTAGTACCGGAGATTCATAATCGCTCATTAACTCGCCATATTGTGTTAATAAATATAAATACTTCAACGCTCTGACTTGTGCCGCAAAAACGATTATATCATGATCGGCATTCTGGATATTAGCAAAGCTGGTCCAACCTTGATCAGTAATTATTGTTTCATTTTTCAATGTTTCATAATTTATCATTACAGATGATAAATGTATATATCGACTGATTGTTAAAATAATACATATGCACAATATTATTCTCATTTTAATTACTATATATCACTTAAATGTAATATGAACTTTCATATAATACGATCTTACACAATACAAACGCGTTACTCATATCAAAGTTGATCACCTGTACAAATGTATATATCTAAGATTAGTTTCTGCTTTAAACAATTATAACTTATTTAGTAAAAAAACTAAAATTAAAGATATATGTAAATCAAATAGTATCATTTTAATATTTAAATAGTAAATATTCTATGCAAACAGATGAATTTTGATGTATTTTCTACCACAGGTTTTTTACTCAAATAATATTTATTAGTTTTAACAAATATCATATTAAAATGTTAATTTAATAATATAATAGAACAAGGAAAACAACGCTTTACTGAGAAAATTACATAGCGTGCTCTACATAGGATTTTCAAACATTTTTTTCTAACGAAAGTACTCGGTGATGAGACTTCGGGAAAATTATGACAAAGGTCGAAAAATGTTTGCCGCTCGCCCGCGAGCTTTTTAAAATTTCGACATTTTTTGAGAAAAACGCTCGCAGATGCAAACACTTTATGACTTAAGGTTTAAAATTTTCACCAAACCCGTTTAATAACACTTCTAAGATATCATACAAAAATCAGTTCAATCTGTTAATTTTTCAACGACCTTTTTTTTCACACGCTCGAGATGCCAGGGCGCGACGCCCAAAATTTTTACGACAATTTACGACTTAAAGACAATTTTTTTTTCGATTCGCAAATATACCAAGGCTATCTGCACGAGGCGAGGAAGTGCCTAGATCCGAAAATCCGAGTCCGACTAACTGCGAGCGTTTAAAATTTATAATTTTAATTGTTTTGTATGCCAATAATACAGTACATATCCTATTATCTTATTATTTAATAGAACAATGAAAAAAACGATTCACTTAAAATTAATTAGCGTGCTCGGGCTTTCAACATTTTTATTTTTCAACGAAACTATTCGGTCACGAGACTCCAGAAAAATTTATCGGTGAAGGTCGGAAAATTTTGAACGAGGATGGCCCAAAGAGGCTTACGCGCCGAAGACTCATGAAACTTGTAGGGTCCCAGTTAGGCGAAGCGTAGTATTAATATATAATACATAATGTTAAATTTGATGCACAAAAAAAGAATTGAACACTGAATATAAATTTGTAACTATTATTTAATTTTTCAAAAATTATACATTTTAGTTTTATACATAGTCGAATTCGGTAGATGTTCAATCATTCTTATAATTATATAATTTTAAGAATGGTGGCAAAGTGGGGTCGCCAGACAGTGTGGACTTGGCACAGTATAGATGATATCTGACAGTCATTAAAATTACTATCTTAAGAAACGCTTCAATGCAAATACATTGATAGTGTTTAATTTTAAGAAATTGGTGGATTATTCTAAAATGAAAAGTTAATATTTCGTAAAAAAATTGTTATTTTAAATCCACTCTGTGGAATAGTTAAGGGTGAAATTTTCAAAAAATTGATATCAAAAAGAAAGAGAAATAAACGTAAGGCGGTTATATAAAAAGCATATTTTGGTACGTTCGTTTTCTAAAAAGCTATGGCTGCTTTGAGTTACAAAATAACATAACGATAGAAGTTGATTCTTTCTACAAAAATTACATTATTTGTTCAATTTTGACGGCCTTTTGCAAATAGAAGATAAGTCGTCGGACACATTCTTTTTTTAACTTATAGAACGTATCATAAGCTTTAATTTAACATGTACTTAAAGAATGCAGTATTTCTGGAAAATTCGGAAAAAAGTTCTGCTTTTTATATGTATTTCTCAAGATTTGAACGCCCTCTGTATAAAGGGAAAATTGTCCGATTTAAAAATAAAAGTATGTCAGATAAAAAGAGTATATATAGTATTTAATTTAGTATCATCTATACTTGTCCCAATTTTTCCATGTCCATACTGTGCTACCGATTTTTTTAATTTATAGAACGTAATATGAGCTTTAGTTTAACATATGTTTAAAGGACACAGTACTTCCGGAATATTTTCAAAAGTTATCTTGAAAAAATTGAATTTTGTGAAAAAGTTGCTATTTTGAATTCGCTTCTGTAATCAGGTAAACTAAATTTTCGGACGTTGGAAAATATTTCATAAATTTTAAATCGACTATACTCTCATAAAAATTCGATTTAATAAAACTTTCGATTTGTTCTTCATTAACCCCAAAACCTGGATTTTCACTTTAATATATTTCAAAAATCGCATTGTAAGTGGATTTAAGTATGTTTTTAAAAAATATTTTAGTTTCATCCGAATTTGAATGTATTTTCTCTACATGTATAATGAAACGTTTCTCGAGTAGCTACACACATTTGTTAAGTAATTATACAGAAGTCAAATTAAACCATAATCGGTCGTTATTTTTCGTATTTGATGTTTTTCAAGAAAAATAACATAAAACGAATGCATTTAATTTAGATACTTTAATTAAAAGGCATGCATTAATAATCTACATCACACTTTCATCATACATAGTAGCGCACGCTATGGGACATATAGATTTCTATTTAATAAAAACTATCATATGGAAATAATTTTCCTATGATTTATTGCTATGATTATTTATTTATTTATTATATATTTATTTATTCCTATGATTGGTAAAAAGTCAATGGTGTCATGACCAACATTATAATCTCAGAAAAAAAAAGAATAGCAAAAATAATAACAAAATCTCAATATCTCTTCTAAGTGTACTTACATGTCTTACATATAAATTTTATATATCTAAAACATAAATTAGACATTTGAACATGTCGTCATAATACAAACTTTATAAGAGAGTAAAATTAACTTCTATTAGCTTCGATGCGAAGTTGAGAAGGTATTCGTTTTACTATGATGTGTTTTTTTTTTGTGTCTGTTACCACTTTTTCTCAGCTCTCACCGAACGGACTTCTTTCAACGATACGTCAAAAGATGGTATTCTATAGGTCTTATGTCCAGAAGTAATTTGAATTCTATTAAGGCTTTCACAAAGATCGTGGTTTTTCTTTAGTGTATGTTACCGGCTTTAATAAAAAAGTTATTTAAATTAAAACTCTTAAAAAGTATATATATTTTTTGATTTACCTATAAAAGAAATACTCTGTGGTTGCATATCATCAATAGATGGGGTGGGTAATGGTGCATGGTTAACTACATGATTTGAATTACGACGAGGCGGAGGAACTGGTGAAGAAGGACTTGTTTTCACACCAGATCTACTAAACATTGTAAATTCAGACTTTTGACGAGGAGAACTACTTAGAGAAGATGGCTGTGATGACTTTGGCACTGTTCGACTAAAAATGTAATGAATATTATAATTTATTTATTTCTATTACAGTAAAAACAAATTGAATAAATTGATTATAATTAATTAATTAACTACCTGCCATTCCAAATATTTTGAGGTTCTTGAGTAAAAGTTCGAGGTTGTGTTGTTGATGATATTTCCCAACTTTTTCGAATTTTTTGTTGAAACTCTTGATGAATGTTATGCAAAAAAAATTGTTGTGACTGAGGTTCTTGTTTAATTGTACCCATTTGATCAAAAGATTCTTGAGTCACATAATGGTTATTTACTGATGAATAAACATTGGTGTTAGGTATTGTATTAGAAGCTATATGTGGTATCTGATTAATATATTGCTGCTGATGTTGGAATTGAGATTGATTGTAATTATTATACATATTTATTGGTGGTTGACTATGATTCATTAAGCTGCGCCATTGATGACTACCTATATTTTCTGAATTGTTATGGTCTAAATGCNGACTACCTATATTTTCTGAATTGTTATGATCTAAATGTTGAATTATTTGTCCATTTGTTATTTGTTGACGATTGATCATATAATTTTGTGGCTGCTGTATTGAATGAGAGTTTTGATAGACTTGATGAACTGCCTGTATCCCTGGATAATGCTGCATCATTTCTGCTTGCAAACTATTATGTTGAAGTTGATTTTGTTGGTTGGTAAGACTTTGAAGATCAGCTTGCAGTTCTTGGTAATTTGAATGTATTCTATTTAAAAAAAAATATTAATGTTAGCTTCGATGCGAAGCTGAGAAGGTATTATTTTTACTATGATGTTTTTTTTTTTTGTGTCTGTTACCACTTTTACTCAGCTCTCACCGAACGGATTTCTTTCAACGATACGTCAAAAGATCACAAATCGTATCTAGTCGAAGACATTACCCTTAAAAATTGAAAAAATTTCCCTCGTTCCCCGCAAATGGGGGAAATATCCAAAAAAATTACAAATTTAAAAATTGACAAATTTTGTCATTTTTTTCACTTTTTTTTTCTTAAAACTTCCATAACTTTTTTAAAAATCAACAAATCAACATAATTTTTTTTTTATACTAAAACCTTAGATATTTTTTATGTACAAAAACTAAAGTTTTCAACTTAATTTTTGAAAATGTTCCGGAAATACTGCGTCTTTTAAACATATATCAAATTAAAGCTTATGTCATGTACTATAAATTGAAAAAATAAATTTGTCCTGACACTTTATCTTCTGCATGCAAACGGCTGCCGTAGTTAAAAAACGCTATATAGATGCTTGATGTCTTTACCTATCATTTGGTATATATTTTTTATAAATTTAACCCTTTACCAGCACACAGGGGGGATTCAAAATGACAACTTTTTCACAAAAAATTAACTTTTGAAAGTGTTCCGGAAATACTGACACTTTTATAGACATTTAAATTAAAGCTAATGTAATATACTCTATTATCGAAAAAAAAAAATTTTGGACTTTATTTTGTCTTCATGGTGAAAATGGCTATTGAATGCTATTTTTATGTGAAAATTCTCGATTTTATTTTTAAAATTTTTAACTTTATAATGCTATGACTTATTCNTTTTATTTTTAAAATTTTTAACTTTATAATGCTATGACATATTCAAAAGTGTATGGATCAACACAATTTTTTTATGAGAAATAATATTTTTTAATAATCCCTTTTTCATTTGACATACTTTATCTTAATCAGGAAATTAATAAGGAACTAGCAGATCATGTAGCTTTTGGAATAATCCACCAATTTTTTAAAATTAAACACTATCTAATGATTTGCATCGAAGAGTTTTTTTTTTTTGATATTTATTTTAATCACTGTGATATAATAATGATATCTGCATTATACTTAATCCAACTATGCCACGTCACCACTGTGCCGCGACCCCCCTGTACTGGGTTTTTTTTTTTTAATTTAAAACAACATTTACTTACTCAGAAAGAGCATTGTATTCTTCAATATTAATATGATCTAGGTCTGGAGTTTTATGTTCATCTTGAAATGGACTACTCATACGGTCCGACCATTTACTTTCTAAGCCATTGTCCTAATAGTTAATAAATATCATTAAAATTTCTTTTAGCTATTTTCAAGATAATATATAGAAAATGATTACTTGAAAAGAAAAGGAATGCTGAGCAGTTTTAACAGAAGAAGGTGAAATATTTCCATCATACATGATTCTGCTATAATTTGAATCGGGACTTTGAAGATTTCTTCCACCATTTTTACCCTAATTCAATTTATTTTAAATTAAAAATTAGCTAGCTTATTCAAATTTTTTATTTTAAATACTCTGGCAACTGCTTGTAAAAATGCAGCTTTTCCAACTTGCTGTTTTTGTTGATTCTTTTTTTGATAGTGATTTTAATCACTGTCAGATATCATTATACTTGATCCAACTATGCCACGTCACCTCTCTGTCGTGATCCCCCTGTGCTGGTTTTATTTTTAACTTTATAATGTTATAACTTATTGAAGATGTATTGATCAATATAATTTTTTTTAAATATATGGATCAGTAAAATTTTTTTTTTACATTGATTATATGTCAATTTAGGTTTTTAAACAATGCATTAAAAATGCGACAAACGGTAAAATCAAAATTAAATAGATTTCATTTGACGTCTTTTAAATATCTAAAAGAATATCTAAAAAACCCAGTACAGGAGGGTCGCAGCACAGTAGTGACATGGCATAGTTGGATCAAGTATTATGGTATCTGACAGTGATTAAAATCACTATCAAAAAAAAAAAACGCTTCGATGCAAATCTTTAGATAGTGTTTATTTTAAAAAAATTGGTATATTATTCCAAAAGCTACATGATCTGCTAGTTCCTTATTAATATCCTGATTAAGATAAAGCATGTCAAATGAAAAAGGGATTATTAAAAAATATTATTTCTCATAAAAAGATTGTGTTGATCCATACACTTTTCAATAAATTATATCATTATAAAGTTAAAAATGTAAAAAATAAAATCGAGAATTTACACACAAAAATAGCATTTGGTAGGCATTTTCACCGTGAAGACAAAATAAAGTCCGAAATTTTTTTTTTGCATAATAAATTACATTACATTAGCTTTAATTTAAGGNTGGTAGCCATTTTCACCGTGAAGACAAAATAAAGTCCGAAATTTTTTTTTTGCATAATAAATTACATTACATTAGCTTTAATTAAAGATATATATAAAAGTGGCAGACCTTTCGGAACATTTTCAAAAGTTAAGTTGAAAAAGTAAATTTTTTCTGTAAAAGTTGTCATTTTGAATCCCCCCTTGTGGGCAGGTTAAGGGTTAAATTTATGAAAAAATATACCAAATGATAGGTA